CTTCATAAGCCTTGCTCCACATGAGGTAGCTTCAGTATTAAAAGGTCTGGTTTTGGAGAGGCAGATAGCTTGCTCTGCCTCACAAGCATTCATCCTGGCTTTGACCCCAAGTCTGAGGAACATCCAGCTAGTGACTTGCGTTTTGGGGTTCTGAGTGAAAAACAGTTCCTGGGTGATGCTGTCCTAGGACTGACCATGGTGTCAGTCCTTTGGCTCTCTGCTGGGCCTACTGTTCTCTGCCAGCATCCCTGGCTGGGAGCTGCGTTGTCCAACTTCATTCCATTATTGGCCCAGAGATAGTTTTGAGAGGACTCAGTGGCCTGGGCCAGAAGCAAGGAGCAGAAGCCCTTGTCTCCAAGGTGCTCGTGTTGGTCTCTGTGTGGCTTCTAGTTGCCCTTCAGCACACGTGGAGCATTTTTGCTAGCCCACACATGCAGGCAAAACCTGGGTGCATCCCTCCACGGCGAGGGCCTGTGCTGGCAGGGTGGGTCTCTGTGGTCCTCAGGCAGCAACCCGGAGGCTAGTGGGGTCTGAAGGGCTCGATTCCTGGCCTCTGCCTGCATCCCTGGGGGACCCCTCCTGCCAGATGTGCTGACACATGCTTTCCTTTGCCTTGCCAGCCTGCTGGAGAGGAAGGAGCTGTGGCGCAGACAGATGGAGGAGCGGCTGCGAAACCTGCCAGATCCTGACACGCCACCTGGGCATACCATGATGCCAGAGGGCCAGCGGCTGGAGACCCTCAGCAATCTGAAGCAGAGTAAGAGGAAAAGTCATGAGGATTCCAGCTCAGAAAAACAGGCGATCCTAGCCAGGGGAAGGGGAAGTTCTGGGGCACAGATTCCTGCCACTTGGAGAGTTGCCTGGAATAAGGCATGTAGCTGGGACGTTGCAGCACTTGAGCCATGTGCACGGAAAGAGCAGTATCTTCAGGTCGGTGGGACCTGCAGGTTACAGGACCAGCTCTCTGGAGCAGGCTTGTCTGGTGGACCTGATGTTAAGATTGCTATTGCTCTTTAAATGATAGAAGGGTTTTGGTTGGGAGGGACCTTCAGAGGTCTCTAGTCCAACCCTTGGTTCTTCAAAGCTGGAGCAGGTCACTCAGGTCCTCATCCAGCTGAGCTCTTAATAGAAGGATGGGTATTTTAAGTCCTTGTTCCTGTGCTGCTGCCATTTTTGTGACTGAGGATGAGGTGGTAGCATTAGGTAAAGGATGGATTTCTTTACTCTTCCACTTACACAACTTGGGGTTTTTTGTTTTTACAGGCCAGGAGCAGCTGATAAAGGACCTGGTGATGCTGCCGGTGCGTGCAGACACCCTCAGTGTGCAGAAGAGGCGTGTAGAGCTGGAGAGGAAGCTCTCCCAGATAGAAGAGGCCATAAAAATTTTCTCGAGGCCCAAAGTCTTCATCAAGTTGGACTCCTGAGCCAGTGGGGCTGGGTGCATTGTGCTGCTCTGCGTGAGCATCCTTCATTGCTGGGAAGGGATGATCATCACTTTGAGAAGGAAGGAGATGAAGGCAAGTTCAGGACCCTGCGCTCATGCAGGTGCTGATACAGTGTCCATCTGTAAGATGGCATCTCTTGCTCACCCTCTGGTGCTGTGTCTTGTCCAGGGAAAAGGGAGGGAGATGCCCTCATTCAGTCTCTGCTGTGCGGTATGGAGAACGGTTGTCTCTGTGCCAGCTGAGTTCCCAGAGATGAGCTCTCTGCCCTGGATCCATGGCATCATCTCTTATGTTCCCATTTTTTTCCCCACTTCTAGAAACTGGTAGGAGGTCTCCCATGCTGCTACCTGTGGTGTTCTTTGTCCCCCTCTTTCTCCTGAGCTGGGCCATGGTCATGGCTCATTCTGGGCACCTGCAAACTTGGCTGCACACAAACCTCATGCTGCACGTGTGCCGTGCCTGTCCCAGTCATGAGCCCTGACCCAGTGCTCATGTAACCGGTGCCTCTGCACCCTCCGATGTGCTGTCTGGGCTCAGCAGCTTGGGGACACCAAGGAGGCACAGAGCTTCAGTCCTTCCTGCCCAGGGAAGAGCTGGACTGGCGACAGGGGGATCTGGCGGGATGTCTGGAGAAGCCTTTGTTGTCTGTGGGGCAGGACACGCTCCAATAAAGCATCATTTCCCTCTCTCCGTGTGCGTGCAGCTCCCAGTGGGCTCACCAGGGCCCGAGGAGTGGCGGTGGGCAGCAGAACCAGCAGCATTGACATAGTGTGGGCAGGGGGAGAGCCGTGGGTCCTGGTCCCACTTTCTGCAGGAGCCTGAGGTGGCTGGGGAGGTTAGGTTTCATGGCACTGGGGTGTTGGGATGTGGTGGTGGACTTGGAGTGGAGAACGTGTGCCAAAGACCTGCCAGATCTTGGTCCACAGGTGGGCAGGTGATGGCTGGGCAAGTGCCATCGTGGAGGTGAGCTCGCTGCCTCCTTACCTTCAGATGTCACATAGAGACCTGTGCTGACTTTTGCAGGGATTCTGCTGTGTGAAGCGTAGAAAGATTTAGGCTAGAAGGGATTGCTGGAGGGCTTGCTCCATCTCCTTAGCGCAGGGGCAGCTCCACAGCTTGGTGCCTTATCTGGCTGAGTTGGGAAAATCTGCAAGGATGGGGTTGCCACCACCACCCTGGGGCTCTGTTCCCAGGCTATGCCGCCCTCAGCCCTGAAGTCACATCAAAACTTCCCTTTTTGCAGCTTGTGCCCATTGCCCTGTCTGCTTTTGCTGCGCGGGGTGGGGATGCTGCGCACAATTGCCCCAAGCAGGTGCCTTGTTGCATGGGGTTACTCCATCCCGGGCAGCATTTTGCAGGGTGGGGATGTTGCAGAGCAGTCCAGCTCTGCCTGCAGCCCCCTGCACTTCCTTGGGATGTCAGGGGGCCGATGCTGCTGCTGAGGGCTGGGGAAGCTTTTAGCACCCGGAAAATCACCCCACGCTCCCCTGGGGCTGGCCTTGGGGTGAGCAGGCTGAGCCGGCTGGATGAGAGCGGCGCTGGGGGCCACGGGCACCAGCCCCCATGCACCTCCCTGCCCTAAACAAGTCTGGACTAACCGCCCTGCTGTCTGCACCTCGGCTGCATGCCGTGAGTGTCACCTCGCTCTGGAGCCGCCAGCCTCAGCCCTCACTGCTCTCCCTGCCTGCCCTCGGCAGGGCTGGGGCTCTGGACGGACAGTCAAATCCTGAACGGTTGGTGCTGCCCCTTCAGACCCTGAGAGCCGCGGGTCCTTTGCCTCCTTGCCCAGTCCCACCATGTGCCCCTGAGAGCAGTGCTGGCGAGAGGACCCTGTTTGTAGGTCCCTTGGCACATGGGCTGGCAGAGCTGGCGCAGTCTGGCTCTTGGCGCTAAACCAAACCCACAGCTCCCATGCGGCTGCTGGTGAGGTTTTGGCTACACCAGCACAGGTGCCTTGGCACAGGGAGGTGCATGTGGTTTGGTTCTCGGGGGGGGTCAGCAAAGGCTATAGGATGCAGTCTCCCCGCTCTCCTGTGGTGGTGACCGGCTGTGCCACCGGCCAGCGTGCCCGTGCCCAGCCTCGCCCTGCGGGAGCCAGGCCAGAGCACCCGGCACCATCTGCGCTCTCTTCCTCCGGGGTTTAACCCAAGGGCCATGGGAGAACCCTTGTGCCATAGCAGGTCTGGCACTGCACCGGTGCCCTCGCTCTCCCTGAGCACCCATGTCCAGCTCGAGCACAGGGGCTGGAAAAGTGGTGCCCTCAGGTGCACCCTGCTGCCTGCTGGACCTTGTGCTGGTGGCTGTGGTGGGTTGGGGCAGAGGTGTTGTTGCTGGTGCTGAGGGTTGATGCTGCAGGAGGTGTGGCGGGAGGGGGTGAAGGACCATGGAGACGGCCAGCCACGATCTGGCCATACGTGTTCCCTGCCAGGACAGGAGGAGGAGAAGCTGTAACCGCTCTGGGTCCAACAGGGCCCAGCAGCATCTCCCTGCTGGGGTGTTGCTCCATCCCTCCCTGCGGGCAGGAAGGTGCTGCTCTGGGGCTGGGCCAGGCCAGCAGCAAAGCAAAGGCCAAAGCCACCATCAGCCCGGCATTTCGGTGCTGGGAGAGCGACCGGGGGCGCTGGGAGCCCCAGGTGAGCAGGAAGGGTTGGTATGGCCCCCCCTGAGCTTGGGGCTGGAGGAGCAGGATGATGCTATGCCACCCCCCAGCAGTGTTTACTGGGGCTGAGTGACAGCCAGGGTGCTGCTGCCGGTTTGGGGGCCATCCAGCACCCTGCAGATGTCACCGGGGTGTCCCCTGTGTAGCGAGGGCATGGCAGTGAGGACAAGGTGGGAACCAGAAGGGGGCCGGGTGAGGCTTATTGCGTGGGGCCACGGTGCCAGGCTCGCTACCCAAAACCAGCCCGGACACGTGCTGTGGGACAGGGGTGTGCAGGGGTAGGGACATGTCACAGCATCCCCCCAGACCCTCCCAGCAATGGGCCTAGAAGTATGTAGTGGGCAGGGGTGCTGCTCCCAGGCACTGCCTTGTGCGCCCAGGGACAGGTTCCCCACCTGTGTGGCATGATGGGGGCCAACGTGCCCCCTTCTCCCACGGGACCTACAGAGCTGGTCACAGGGCTCATGCTGGCCCATGACAGGATGGGCCGTGGCACAGGGCGATGGGGCTGGTGTGGGACATGCCTGCCCCATCCCATGGTGCTGGGGCTGCTTGCTGTCCTGGAGGGGGCTGTGCCCTGTGGCTGTTGGGGTCCAGCCCCCACGGTGACACAAAGCAGGGACAAGGGTGGGGGGGTGCTTTCTAGAAAAGGTTTTACTGTCCGTTGCAATATATTAATTGATGATGCATATTTTGATAAAACAATTTAAAAAAAACCACTTGTTTGGAAGGAGAGGGGCAGGAGGCGAGGGGGCTCAGTGGGGCAGCGCCCCATGGCAGCGGACGCCGCAGTGGGGCTCCCAGGGACGCGGGTAGCAGGAGAGGGCAGTGAGCAGCCCCGCTCTGCCCCTGCCCGCTGGCCCCGTCACCACCCCGGTGCCCACGGGACCCTGCAGCTATAGGGTGAGGAGGGTGCCGTCCTCTTGCCCGCTGCCCCGGCCGGGGCTGCCGTCATGGCTCCCCAGGGACTGCAGGGAGCCCCGCGAGCTGTGTGGGGACAGGCTCCGCTGGAGGGGTCCATCTGCAGGGCCCCCATTGGGGCAGCCCCCGGGGATGTAATGGGGCGCGCTGTCGCTCTCGATGACCAGGTCCCCCTCCTCGTCGCTCTCAGCCGTGCTGTAGTTGCTCAGGTACTGCGAGGCCGGGCTGGGGGTCTGCTGGCTGGGGGTGCTGTCCGTAGACATGCCCGAGCTGCCTGAGGCCTTGCTGCTGCGGATGACGTTGTTGCGCTGGTTGGCCGGCTTGACGGTGATGATGAGGTTGTGGCTGTTGGCCACCATCATGTCCGTCACCTGGTCCAGGGACTTGCCGGCCACGTCAATGCCATTGACCTCCAGGATCTCATCGCTCACCGCCAGCAGCCCTGTGCTCTCGGCCAAACCACCCTTCACCAGGCGGGAGATGAAGATACCAGGCACCTTCTCGACGCCCTGTGGGGCCACGCGCACGCTGACACCATCACGGATGTAGAAACCCAGCGGCTTGTCAGAGCCGTGCTTGTGGAGCCGCACGCGGCGGTGGGTCTCAGGCAGGATGTCCACATCGATGATGGAGGAGATCTGGCGGAAGTCCTGGGGCATGCCGATGAGGAGGTGAGGCTTGGCCCGGTAGTGCGCGGGGCGCAGCAGCCCCTTCTTCTTCCGCTGCAAGGAGTTCGAGGCAAAGACACCGGCATCGGACTCTGCTGTAGGGAGCAAGGGAGGACACAGGTCAGGCACCGCAGCCGCCCAGGGATGCAACCGCGTGCCCTTGGCTCCAGGTGTTAGGGGAGCTGGCAAGAGAAGTGCCCTGCTCACAAGTCCCGCCGGCTTTTCCTCCCCGGAGTATCACCCTGGCTTTTCCTGCAGCCTGTCTCCGCCGGGCCCATCTCCTGGGATTACCCAGCGTACACGAGGCCAGGATTAGTGGGATCGAGGCAGTGATTCAGCCTTAATCACACTTTAAGCCAAACTCTGCAGCTTAACACTAGAGCTGCCAGCCCTGATGGCCCAGGAGCCACGGCTGTGGC